AGCCCAGTAACTAATGTTAAATCGAGAGAAAAGATGCTTAATCAAAATTTACCTCTAACAATTACTCGTACTATAGCGTGTTGACCTTCGTGTCGTCGTCCTTCCGGATAACATTCGTAAATACCAGCGTCTTTTTGCCGAACGTTTTCAATCGTTGCGTTGCTTAACCCCTCCCACTCTATGATATCGGATCGTCCATCTTTCTTCCATCGTAAACTGCTGACATTTACACTATCACGAATCATCATTACCAGCTTAACTGTTTCGCCAATACTTGTTGTAATAGTTCGTTGCTCTGGTACAATGGTGCCTAGAAAAGAAATGAAAAAGCGAGCATGAAATTATATTTCAAATAACTATCACAACCTTCACAATCGATAAATCATTAAACCCCATATAAAAGACATGAAAATAACAAACAATTATATACCACTGCATCCGCTCGAAAAAAAAATCCGCTCGAATTGGCCTTCGCTCGAAATGGCATCCGCTCGAATTGACTGGTGATTATTTTCTATTGAGATCCCTTTATTTGGTATAAAGTTAGCAGGAGAGCTTTGTTTGGCAGTTCCGTACATTGGATTGATAAAGGAGATTTTGTTGCTTTTATACGGGTAAAAATTAAGATGGATTGTCTATATCATAAATTTATACATAGAGGAGATTAACAGTTACATTCAGAATACTGATTTCATGACTTTCTTTACAAATCAAAGTTTATTATTACATTCTTTAGTTTTTAAACTAGCTATATTATGACCAATTAAAAAAATATAGATTATGCAATTGTAAATATAATACACACATCACGCACACCTTTAACCTTCCTCCCCCTCCCACCCACACACTGTCACACACACCCCACCCACCCGGATTGACACATACGTTAGGATAGCCACCCATTTTATTTAATTTCTAAAATGAATACGGTCATGGGATAGGGCTGGTAAAATCTTGTTCATGAATTGGTCTCAGAAAACCTAATTAGTTTACTGATATTCGACACTGACTACCTCACTTCTAATGGTGGCTTAGCTACTTTTATGATTAATGTGTGCCACCAGAAGGGTATCCCACTGGAAGCAAGTCTTCTTCGGACATTCGTGTTTTCGTGAATTGGTGTTTACATCGAATAGCCTAAATCCAATCCCATGCATTCATATGAGGTATTGATACATGAAACTTGGGTTGATAACTACTTTATAATGCTGACGAATGGTGGCGATGAGGGGCAGAGGGCAGTCCCCCGTCGTAGACATAGCCGGGGACATCGGCCCCTCGTCGGGGTCCCGGCACCACATTTGTTTATATAGGCCTACTTAAAAATAAGGACCATTACTCTAACTGCAACATACCCTATAAATTAAACAACGAAGTAGTGACCAATGTCTTTTATTCAAAATTTTATGGTATAAATATAAATTGTTCATTTTGACAAAAATCAAAAAGGGAACATTTTTGTTCATCTATTTTGTATTACTATAAGAGTCTAGGCCTATCGTATGTAATTTAGTTTGTTGTGTATGACCATTTTGGGAAAAAAGCATTTCTTCAATGGTATGACATACACGCAATGCCGCACCATGCAGCATCAACAGATATATTAATTCACTCACCTCCATTTGCTAGAAACACCATTGACGCTGAAGCCTTGTAACCATTGAATTCTGTCCGACTGTATTTTACACCGACTCTGCGTACAGCAGGGACGTCACTTGGTGGGAATGTAAGCCAACATCTACATGCTGATTTAATTTTTTTGCATTCTTCGTAAATAGTACCAGGAGTAAATATGGACTTGTTTATATGTGGGTCTGAATTTATTAACTCATTTTCCCCATAACGTGTCCCGTTGTCGTCCACCCATAAGCCTATACCAAACATGACGTTTTCGTTGTTACATTTATCCTCCCACCCAGTGTAGGCACGCAGATCCGTTGCTGTGTCTTTGTCTACAATATATACTGCACTAAAGGCTGTAAGATCAGGTAACATGGCTGAAATAGATAAACAAGTTTGAAAAAAAAAAAAAAAAAACTAATTAACCTCAGATTTCAAGTATCAAAATGCGTTCATAAGTGCTCAATTTAAATGTTTAATTTTTACGAAATTGCCTTCAAACTTACAACAAAGGTGTCATCCAAATACGTGATCTAATATTCATGAGAAATTCAATAGGCCTAATAACGATTTCTTTTTCCGTATCAAATGCGCGAAAGGGTTGATTATCTATTAACAATTATCCATTATTATTTTTAAAGGGAAGAAAGAAAAAAAAAACAGTTAGAGGTAAGTATAATGCCCTTGTCAATTGTATCCCCTTCCCCCCCAGACCCGGGCCACAGCGGAGTATTACTCAGGCTGGCCTAGACTGAGCCGGGAACGTACCTATAGGCCTAGTTGTGTCCCCGTAGTGGCGGGACGTACCTAAAATTCTCCCGTAGTTGTAAGGCATCGAAGGGGATAGGAGTTTTAGGCCTACGCGTTTAAGTAGCCGGGGTTTCGGATGTACGTCCTGTCAAATGGTCTGGTCCATCCCAGACGCGAATCCAGGATTTTTCCTGACCTTCGCTTAGATCAGGTGGTCCATGCAATGCTGGATCCAGAAATTTGAAATGTAGCGACCTTCACAGATAGACACCTCAGCCCCACCATGGTTGGGGGCTGAGGTAAGAAAAATGAAGATTACGTCGCCTTTAGATGGCTGGAAATGGCATTTTCAAGATTTGAATATTATTTTAAGTTTTTCTTCATTCTTTAAACATAATTTTGAAATATTTACCATGGCCCGCGCCGACAGGGTTCCCCTTCAATCTGGCGGTATGGGGAAATCCTCTAAGTCAGGTGTCCTAGGGTTTTTAAAGAAATGTTGCTTATTACGGAATTTCTATAAAAAGATAAACGAACAGATTTTTGAGAGAGAGACAGAGAGGGGGAGGGATTACTCAGATACGCCTCGAATGTCAACTATAAACAACATATTACAAATAAAGACATGCATAATGATATTCCCCCTGTATCAAGAACTTTGAGGGCAAGAAGGTTAGCATTTGCTGGACATTGCTACAGAAGTAAAAATTAAATTCAAGGTTCTCTTTGGGAACCAACCAATGGAAAAAAGAAACAAGTACAACCCCGACTACATGCATCGAGCGCAATTAGAAAAGGACCTAAACACACAGCGGCATAGACTTGCCACAAGTCTCTAATTTATGAATTTTTCGTAGTATTAGCGCATTTCGGAAACCGCCACTATCGTCAGTTTATGTTGAGAAACTTTTTTGATGAGAAAAATCCCAGAAAAAGCATACTATGGAACGCCATGTAAATACGTAATATGGAACGCCATTTGTGCCAAAATCGATTTATTCTTAAGCATTTCAACTGATTAAGACAAAGATTAGGGACTGGAACCCAGTCTAACAACAGCGGCAGTACATTCCACAAATTATGGAAAACAGATTTGTGGAGAACAGTCCTAAAA